TTTTCAAATTATGATTTAAAAGACTATACATTCAGTATGTTATACATTGATGACATACAGATACTGTCAATAATTAAAAATAACTGATCTTAGAATTTATTTAAAAAAATTTAATTAAGAATTATCACTTTTTTCCAGAAGAGTCACCCATATCATCATCATCAAATACAAATTTGATTTTAGATTATGTATTATTACTTACCTCATTTTCAAACTTGTTAATTACCTTTCAATGTTATCTGGAGAATCATATCACTTAATCTTTGAATGGAAATATTGTAGTAAGTAGGAATAGTAGTTATATCCATATTGTACATCAATGTATTTCTTTATAAATTTCTTTATAAATTCAGGTAGGTATTCCTGAATTAAATTTTAAATGATTTCTTACCACTTCCTAGTATCACTTATTCTTACTGAGGATTTTGGATACTCTGCTCTTAGCTTTCTTTACTTCAACCGCGGTTTGACTCATGTTTTCTGCATAAGACTCTATTGTGCTCTGTCTACCTGTAGAAAATTTCAAAGTGGGAGCAGGTTGCCTCCAGATATTTTCAAGATAATATGCTAAGGTGCAAGTAGAAACATTGAGACTTCCTGTTAAACTTTTTTTAAATAGAAAGTGAATCTGTACTAAGAATGTAATGTTCTGATTAACTCCAGTGTACATGTTCCATTCATTGGTAGGCAGATAGGTTATGTGTAATGGACAAGATGAGAGTTATTACAAATAATGATGAAAGCAATGTGTAGGACAGAGGGGAACAGTAGAGTATTCCTTCTTTCTTACAGTCAGAAACTTGCAGTATATCTAGTTCATTTGTGCCAGACTACATGGAATTATCAGTTACACGATCTAGGTTTAACTATGTGAACTCTCACATAGTTATATGAGGGAATTAAAATGCTCCTAGAAAGAAATTGCAGTTTGAAAGGATCATAACTAATGTAGATACAGATGAAAGTAGTGGGGGTAAGGCTTTCAATTTTATTCACATAAATTTTCTCAGCCTCTTTACAGTATGGAAACCAAAACGTTCAAGTTTGAACATATGTGAACTGTAAGTGACTACTATGTATTTTTAAAAAAATGATGAAGAGGATTGTACGAAAGACAGATTTACATTGATGACCTTTACCCACAGTGGATCCTGGTATTGGCTATTAATAGCTAAAGTTGTCACCGTTATCTATCATTATATTTACTACACATGCTACTTTTTCTAAGTGACTTTTAAAATTTTATTTTATTACTGATTTTACTGTAACTTGTTTTTGAATTTTACCTTTAAAAAAAAAAAAAGATTAATGGGATTGGGCCAAAAACCTTTGTAAGCTCATGACTTAGAGAATGAGGTCAAAATCCCTTGCTGTTCGTACTAAGGTTGCTGGTGTCTGAGCCCAGCCTGCTTTTCAATCACAATTTTTCCTTTGCTCTTCCTTCACGCTCTGAGTGTTTCTGCGGTAGCAAGGAGCTGCCTGCTCTTCAGCATGCCCAGCTCTACCCGCCTTCTCAAACTAATCTCAGCCAGGAGTCATTTCACCTTCTCTGAACCCTCATTATGAGAGTTGATACTTTATAGCCTTTTAAGTTCTTTGAGGGCAGAATTCATTATCCAATTCATTTTATGTCCCCCATAGTGCAAAGGATATGCATTCCAAGAAAATGTGTTAGAAGGAAGGAAGAAAGAAAAAAGGAAATATTAACCGAGGGAGAAAAAATAAGTTAGTTCTTCACCTTTCTTGTCTAAAGGCTCAGGCTGATGGAGAGGCACCAAACCATTCAAATTAATTCCCTTAATCATCCCATTTTGAAACTGTACTTCTTTTGGCACTGTATTTCATGACTAGAGCAAGCTTAAAATATCACCAGACCACTGTCTTTCTGTCACGCAGTGACATGTGAAATATTACTTTATTCATGAAGACATCCCCAGATGACAGAGACTACTGAACTACAGCAAGCAGGAGACTGGAGCGGCAGGGCTGAGTGGGACGTGGGACTCGCATTCGGTGGGACCTAGAGGAGAATCCCTGCTCTGTTGCTTATTGGGTGTGAGCATGCAACTGTACCATCTTCAGCTCTGCCTTTTCTAGTATTGTAATCTTTTCAATGGTTAAGTGAATTCAAGGGGAAGGGAAATATGGGCAAGAGGAGAAAGGATAGCAAAGCTTAAAAAATAGAAACATGATACATTATTCGTACCCGTTCTCCAAGTCTAATTATTATGTTTTGCAAATGTATACCAACAATTAAAAATGAAAATGATTTAACAAGCAAAACAGCCAAATAAATGATACATTAAAGGAAATTAGGATGATACTTGGAGATAAGGGATGTTTTATATGTTACTTGTCATTATTAATCATGTATCTTTAGGACCCAATTATAATAATATGTGTGCCTAATATATTTATCCTAATTTTATGTAGTCGAAATGTACATTGTAAGGTTAATTAGCAACAGTAAAATTACTTTGGGTTTTATCCATAGCTTTGTTTCCTTAGATTTGCTAGTGAATTGTTTCTCATAATCAAAGTTAATGATTCTACAGCTTAAGCCTCCTATAACATTCAACAGATTTGCCATTTAGCATTCTAGGATCTGAGAGAGTGTATCTATTTACAAGTAATAGCAGCTCTAGTGAAAGGAGAACAGTAATATAAGAGCACAGTATCAAGTAATAATGCAAGATATGCCTCAAATGTGAAGTATACCAGCCCTCAAGTCAGTTTTCCATGAATGACCCATAAACATGAAGAAAACAAACAAATCCACAACAAAACACATTATTGTGTGTTTTGAACTAAACTAGAACTAAAGAGTAATTCCAAAAATTTGAAAGTTTGTGTGAGAAGGGGGAAAAGGTCTGTTACAAAAGGCCGGGATTTAGAACGTTTCATTTCTCAATGACAACTCATGTTCTGGAAGGCTCTGAAATACGGGTGTAGAAGTCTAAGGAAGAATGGTATGATCCTGTGATTGTATCGTCAGGCACTTGAGAAAAGACAACAAACATGATTTCAAATATTTAAGGACTCAATAATTTGCCTGTCATTCAATTTGCATTAGGAATGTCCTAGAGAAGATACCTAAGAAATATGATAAACTCAGGTACACAAATAAAGGGAACCTATTACAGGAATCTGTAAAGGATATCTGGTATAGGAGGATGAAGAATCATAATCACATACTAATAACTCTTTTTCAAGGCTAGAAAATGTAGTCTTTCATATTATAGTATGTAGTTAGAAGGTAGTGTGAAAGAATTCCTTGAAGTTTTGGGTTTTTTGGAAATTTATCACTAGGCATTTGCTAGCTTGGATGATACATTTGGACAATGGCTATGTAGGACAGAACAACACATAAACTCTGAGAAAAAAATGTACGGAAAAGGAAATAAGAGATGCTTCATTTAGCAGGAAGTAAGCAAGCACAATAAAGCAAAAATAAAGCAAGAATTGGTTAATATGTAATGAAATACTCTAACAATACTGGAAGGTGTTGGATGTGGAATTTGAGAGTTGGTGGTGGGATAACAGAATTTAAACCTCAACTACTCTATAATAAGAAGTCAATGGCTACGGACAAAATCTGATAGAAATATAAAAATTTTAAATATTTCATTGTGAAAAGTGATGAATATAAAAATAAAGAGCTAAACGAGTTAAAATGAGCTGTGTTCTCAGCTTCAAACTCCATACTTTCTTGAGACCACTAGGCAATTCCATATGCTTGAGGTCTTTTGTACCCCAGGCTTTCGGGCACTCAGTCTCTTGCTTTGGTGAAGTCTTCCTGCGTCCTGGTTTGAAGTTCTCTTCTCTTTGAATAAAACACTGACCCAGACATTGGGTTGAAGAAGGAGATGAAGCCCTAAGGACAGCACCTCACAGGAAAGGCTTTGCCTAAGGTAGCCGTAGCACCTAAGAGCTTCATCCCATTGAACTTTATAAGGATACCAGGTGTCGTGAGTTCTCTGACAACTGGGAAATAGTTGACTTTATGGACAGAGTCTCCCCTGCCCAAGATCCTATGAGAGTAAAGGAAGACTGGTGAACAGATAATTTATTATAGATGCCTGAGGCTTTGGGGTGGAGGAGGACCTGTTAATGGCACTAGTTTTCATCACTTACAGACCACAGGAATTCCAGCATTTTGGGTATATCCCTGATGAGATCCAATCTCAATTGAACTGACATGGTAAGTTAGCCAGTTCTCTGAGGAGCACAGCAGCAAAAGTATGATCAGTTGGAACACTTAGATAAAAGCACAATGAAATCGAATTCTTAAGGAGATAACTAGATACCTGAATTAGTAAATTCATTTTTAAATTTCAGGTACATCATAATTGCTACTTTCTGGTATTTATAAATATGATCTATGATTTTAAAAATTAGAATAAGTTAAATAATTTATAATCACTACCAAGACACACATTAGTGCAGTGACACTTCATTTTTGCTTGCAACTCATTGGTTTGGTCAGAACCAGGGCCTACTGCTCTGCAAGGGAGAGAGAAGTGGAGATTTGCCTTATGCCTGCAGGAAAGAAAGTGCCCCATGGGTGAACACATGAAGGATATCATCATTATCTGGCACCAGAAAGGAGATTGTAAGTAAAAATCAAATAAGTAGAATCTTAATAGAGTGAAAATTTGATAATGACCTAGAGCTATAGAGTAGTCCACTTTATCTGTGGTTTCACTTTTCATGGTTTTAGTTGGTAGAAGTCAACCACAGACCAAAAATAGTAAATGAAAAATTCAGGAAATAAATAATATACGTTTTAATTTGTGTGCTATTCTGAGTAGCATCATGAAATCTTGCACAATCTAGCTACGGCACCAGTGCTGTGAATCACCCCTTTGTCCAGTGTGTATACGCTCTCTATGTTTCCTGCTTGTTAGCAACACTAGACAGCTCAGTGATCAAGTAGGCCATTGTGATGCCAACATGCTTGTGTGGTGGTCTCGGAACTGTCCATAGTTTCAGGCATTCTGTGGATAGAAAGGGGCTACTGCAGGTACAGACATAAATATAATGTTTAAAGGTAGGAGGCCTGGGATTGTGTAACACATATAATAAATCTGGATTATTTAAAACAAAAGGAACTTTATGAAAAATATTTTAGTTACAATCCAGCCCTGAAAACCGTACCACTTGGAGTTCTGGGAGAAAGGAATTAAAATATTCCAAAATTTGCACTCTTCACACAGAAGATTAAAAGACTGGTGGTGTGTTGAGAAGCTATCATAAAGGTCTTATTCTATAAGGAGGAAAGAGTTAAGCAAATAATGAAAATCAAAACATCATGGTGAGACATGCAGTAGGTATTGGTGAGAAAAATGGTGTCTGGTTTAGAAATAAAAATAGAATTTGGGTATGTATCTGTGAAAGTTAACAAGAAGGATGACAACTACAGAAAGGAAAAATCCAAAATCTTCGACTTAATTGTGGAAAACCTACTATGGAAAACAGTGAAAGCTTTATCAGGAAATAGGCTATGGAATAAAGAAAGCAAAATAATAAATAGTACACTGAAAGGAATAAAATGGGAGATATCATTAATTACACTATGAATGGATTGAAACCATCTCATAAAAAGACACAAATTGAAATGTATCATAAAATGTAAATATATGCAGTTTCCAAAATATTAACTTTAACTTATGGTAATAATGATAGCAACTGGTAGGGGATGGACAAAAGGATGCTTAACATTTGAAACAAAACGAAAATAAAATTGGCAAAATTACTGTCCAGCAGATTGGGATTCACAGTTAAAAACATTGAGAGAAGGTGAGACACACATTAAAAATATACACAAAGATGCTACAGATGTGTATACATACAAAATGAATAGCAGAACAGCTACAGATAAAACAAATTATTGCAATGTAAAATTAAAATATATAAAATTTTTAAAGTGTAAATTTAGTTGAATATTTTATTAGCACTTCTCTCCATCATACAGAAACAGTAGGTGAGATTAGTAAGAAGTTGCCTCTTGTAAGAAAGATTATGATATGTGAAAGTCGAGCAGGGAATTTAAATTACGCAGATGTAATATTTTAAGTCATCTTTCATGTTTTCAAATTAAAATCACATAGTTTTATAAATTTAAATATTAATTTGAGACAATGGCAATGAACTGATTTCTTAGAACAAAGGGAGAAACACAGGGGCCCATTTAATTGTAATCATTCTGCATAAATTTCAGAGTAATTATTAAAATCCAGTTTCTCTCTGAGTAGATTAATGTAGTCAACATTTTCTTCTATACATGTTAATTGCAAATAAGTAATACACTTTATAGAACATATTTTAAAGATAAAACTTTTGTTAACTTTATTCCAAATGAGATAATGATAAAAAACATATTAAACTATAGGCAAAACACTGTCTTTTTAAAAATCTCATCTCCAGAGAAAATATCTTTCTTGATAAAGCAACATAGATTTATTTAAAATTTTTTAGGCTAGGCTTAAATGTTCCTTTTGTGGACAGATTCTCAAAATCTCTGTCTGCTTTAATGAAAGACAGAACAGGTTTCTCCTTTTACATGCTATCTCATAATGCTTTTCTTGAAGCAATTAACATTTCCCAGAAGTAAGCTAAGTTGGTGTGTCATAGATGAATTGAAAGGATTTCTAGAACAGTTTTTTGGTCTGCTTGCTAGACCTATTTTTAATTATAAGCTTTAAATACATTATTTTTATGAGATATGTGGATGAATGCATGGAACTCTAATTTGATCTTTATTTCCCTTTACAACTTTTCTTTTCCAAATTCTGTTTTACATAATCACTTTTTAAAATGCAATTTCTTTGAAGTTCAAACTACTTTAATGAGGATTTTAATTGGAATTATGTTAAATTGGAGGAAATTACCATATTCATAACACTCATAATTCCCATGTAGTACTTTCTATATCTCTTTATATAGTAAAACTTGGTTTTATATTTCTTAGTATAACTTAATATTTCTTTATGTTATTTACATATTTATATTTATCTTCAATTTTTAAGTTATCTTTTTTAGTAAACTTTGTAAAGTATTGCTGGCTTATTAGGTATATTTTAGATTTGCCATATATGTTTTCCTATTCATCAGTTAAGTAAGTTTACTTGTGAAATCAAATAATGTCTTTGCTTTTCTAGATGTAGCATCAAACTTAAGCATTAAGATAATTTTGAATTTAGAAAACTTGTATCTTTTAATTCAGTTTCTTGTCTTATTGCATTGGATGGTATAATATTAAATATTAGCATGTAAACAAACATGCTGAGCTTTGAAAAACATGTTATTTGACATACCTGTAGTGTTTATACAGTAAAGTGTATTTATTTGTTCATTCAAGGTGGATATTCTATAGCATTTTTAAGGGAATTTAGCTAAGAATCTTTTCTGGTAAAATGTTTACATTTTATCAAGTAATATTTGGGTATCTTTTGAGATGAGCATATATTTTTATCTAAGTCTTGTTAATATGATTCATACAAAAATAATTTTTCATTTCTGAGAGATGACCAATTTCATTATGATTAATTGATTTTTTTTATAAATTATTGAATTCAATGTGTGGTATATTTGGAATTTTTATATGTCTTATATAAATATATATCTTTTATATCTTAGTATATAAATTATTCTTTTTACTACCTACATATATTTTTATATTATAGACTTTTATTCTGCTTATACACTATGAATGAGATTAAAATTCATGGAAATTAAACAATATTTGATATTTCTCTGAATTTATAAATGACATTGTTTTATATGACCCAAGTTGTTATATCAGGAGTAGCCATTTTAGGATTTTGGGGCTTTCTATTATCACATGATCAACTTCTATCATTTGATTTCTATTATCACTTGATTGTTTGATTTGATTTTGTAATTCTTGAAATTATTATTTGAATTATAACTTTTCAGAAAATTAAAATATAAAATAACTATAACTATGGACACTAAAATTTTATAACTTCTAAAATCTTCACTTGTTTACTCATTTTAATATGATCTTTAAATTACATTTTAAATATATATGTGTATCACTTTCATCATATAACTAATTAATTGTTTAAATAAACTAAAGTGATTTCATGATTTTCTTTTCTTAAAATTATGATATGAAAACTGGTTATATGTTTTGTATACTTTCACTGATTTTTCTTTTGTATCCAATGACTATTTTTCCTAGTTTTAAATTTTAATATATTATTGTCATTGAAAATATATTCAGTCTATAGGATTGCATATAATACTACCAATTGAAATTTTCTGCATATATATTTGGTCTCTTTGTTTGGTTATGTAGATGTAAAACTGACTGCCAGCACCATATTGTCACATTCAAACCACTTATTTCTAAGGGAATATAGTGTATTCTCATATTGGAAATGTAGTAGAGACCAAAGCTCAGATGAAAGGTTTTAGAAAAAAATTGGAAACATATTAATTTATAATTAATAGCATCAATATTAAGACATGAATGAGAAAAATTCAATTGCTTAGATGAGCAGAAAATGTAGTATTTTGAAAGAATTATACAATAAAAATTAAAAATTGCAGAAGGTAGAATTAATGACATTGATTCTCAAGCAAAAATACTTATTTCTCTTTTTTAAAATGGCACAATACTGGAACTGAATCCTGGGCCTTCACATTGAACTAAAATCCTCAGTCCTCTAGATTTTTTTTTTTTTTTTTTTTCGCGGATTGACAAAGTCATCTAAGCTGGGCTAGAACTTGGTTTCTCCTGCTTCAGCCTCTTTCCATGAGTTCAAGGCCAGCTTGGGCTACATAGTGAATTCAAGACTAGCTGGAACTAAGTAGTGAGAACTCATCTCAGAAATAAAGACTTAATTCTTAAATGCGAAAAACAAATATAAGCGTTGGTGGTATAGTGGTGAGCATAGCTGCCTTCCAAAAAAAAAAAAAAGATGCACTTTTGGGGATATATTAATTCCAAAAGTTTAAATGAAAATGTAAAAAAATCAAATAAATAATCATTTTGTAGATATATTTCTATATTTTAATTTTCTGCTCAAAAGTTATGTGAAATAGTTGCTGAAATTTATTTTTTTCTGACAAATAGTAAATTATTACTAATTTTCAAAACTTTCACAGGCAATTCAAAAAGAGGAAAACATTTGAAAGAGAAAAGAGTAACATTGAAAACAGAGACAAACCTATTCTCTAGACTCCTACGGTAGTGATGTGACAGTCTGACCTCCATCTCTGAGTTAAAATATCTTTTCTTGATTGTCTTTCCCCATCTTTCAAGTAGTTTCCTCTCAGTCTCAATTACTGACATTAAAATTCTTTGTTGTAGATTAATTCAGTTGTGCCACAACATAAAATCCTACTTAGTTGGTTACAATCTGAGGTTGACCAAATGTTCTTTTGGAAAGTGATTCACACATCTGCCAACTGAATTCTATCCATACATCAAATTGGATGTTAGAGCTCTTTCTTACCATCTGTATTCTGTAAACTCTTGAATGATAATTTGCATTGATTATACAAACTATATTTTTAAAATGAGTAATCTATTTGGCTGAATCTGTGATGGATTTGTTTTTATGCTATCTTATGAATTATGAAGAGGTCTAGATTTTTAAAAACTCATTTATTTCACAGTTCTCCATGGGCACACAGAAGTTATCTTTTCCAACACCTTTGAAATGGGCAGGACAATCTATTAGTTCTGAGAAGTCAGAAAGATGTTTCTGTGATACGTACCATTTCCAGGCTAATGAAGGTATAAACTTCTTAGTAATTTATCTAGTTCTTTTCTTGCCTAAGATAATTGTGAATACCCTATGCTACCATGTCAAAGTCCCAGGACTGAAGCCTTCTGGATCCTTACGTCACTACCTGAATGACAGATGTCCTCCAAAGTGGCTTGGACTTGAGGCTTTAACATGCATCATGAATAAACTCCTGTGATATTAAATCAGTGAGATTTGGGGATTATTCATTATTGTAGAATAGTCTTCTCTGACAAACCTGTTG